TGCTTTGTGCACTTCCGTAAGCCCTCAATAACAGCGTGGGACCCACGAAGCCCCACTCGTGACGCTGGAAGTTCTCCCGGTAAACAGAGAAGCCAGGACGTTCCGAGGAAAAGCTGAATTGCCTGCTGCGCACCGTGGATCCAGGTCTGCAGCCGCAGCGGCTGCCAGTAAGATGGACGGTTCGTCTCGTAAACAGACACTGTAAATTTACAGTACTGATAAACACAGGGCAGTGCCATAAATGTATTCTCTTTCTTACGATTTTCTCAATAACATTTTCTTTTCTCTAGCTTCCTTTATTGTAAAAATACAGTATATTATACAGTCTATAATGTCATAAAACACAGTATATACCATACAAAATATGTGTGGATTGATCACTTATGTTACCGGTAAGGCTTCGGGTCAGCGGTTGGCTATTAGTGGTTAAGGTTTAGGGGAGTTTAACGTTATACTCAGATTTTCCACTGCACAGGGGATCGGCACCCCAGCCCCGGTTGTTCAAGGATCCGCTGTACAGGGGTGTGGTGTGAGTGCAGGTGTGTGGAGGGAGGGGAGGAAAGGGACATTTCTTGTAAGGAAGGAAACCGCTGCCATGACCATGCAGACTGGTAAGTCCAAACTGGGTGGGACAAGAGAGCAGGCAGGAAACTCGGGCAGAAGTTGACGTTACCATCCTGAGGCAGAATTTCCTCTCTAAGAGACCTCAGTTTTGTTCTTAAGGCCTTCAGTTGAACGGATGGCCCGGTACTCTTCTTTACTTAAAGATGTATCTGTTAACCACGGCAATAAAATACCCTTGCGGCGACACCTAGACAGCGTCTGGGGGATGCCTGGGTAAACACCCTGGCCGAGGTGCACGTGAAGCTCGCGGTCACAGGCCTCCCAACCAGGCGCAGGGAGGCAGGAGCAGGGCGCAGGCCCGGCCTGGGAGAGGCGGAGGAGCCGAGTGCCGCTGGCCTGGGGTGGAAACACAGCCCACGAGGCGGGACCTGCCATTCGGGAGTCAGTGTTGGGGGACTTGTGACATGCCCCGGCCTCTGGGAGCTGTTCAAGCTTCCCCAGGACGCGACACAGGCGACACCATGGTCTGGCAACCGTCCTGCAAAGAGCAGGCCACCGAGAACTCTGCCGTGCAAGACCAGAACTGGCTGGGGAGGTGACGGGGGCAGGCGTGAAAGGCTGACTGTCCGGAGGAGGCAGGGCTGCTCCGAGGGACAGAGCAGGGAAGGATGGCCCCTAGGCAGACGGGGAGTCTGGTCCTCGATGTTAACTGAGACCAACAGGGACGCATAGCCAGACTCAGGACAGAGGCGGGGGCCAAGGTACACTACTTGGGAATCAGCGACAGAACACCGTTGACCCCATGGGAGCCGACAGAGGAAGAGGGTGAAAAGGGAAAGATCAGAGAGCTGACCAAGCGGTTACAGGGACCCCAGGAATGAGGACGGCCGGTCCCTTGGGGCGTCTCCCACGTGTGCGGCCACGAGGAGACGAGGGCTGGGAGAAGGGCTGGCCGCTGAAGGGTTTCTACCCGTGCGACCAGCCTGCGGCTGCTGGCAGAGGCCACGGGGGAGGGGTCTGGACCAGACTTGAGTGGAAGTCCCTGGACACCCAGTAGGAGGGGCAGGGCGCGGGCGGGAGGACTTGGGGAGCAGGCCCGGCCTCAAGGGAGGTGAAGGCAGCGGGAGGAGCAGATGCAAGTCGTGGTTCCCACACGGCCAGGACACAGGGGACCAGGCTCCAGGCAGAAGTCTCTGGAGGGGCCAACGCTGCCCACGGAGTTCTCAACTCCCGACACCGCCTTAGTGCAAAACGGGTAGCAGAAGCAGCAGCCCCGGATGATGTCTGTAGCGTGCACTTCTATGTAGTGTGTACACCAGCCACAGCTTGGGGACGCTACACACCAACGTACATTAAATCTCTTAATTGCCACGCCAACCCTAAGAGTTAGGGACTAGAATTATCACCATTTTACAGACAGAAACTGACGCACAGAGAGGTTAATAACTTGCCCAAGGTCACACAGCTAGCAAGTGGCAGAGCCAGGATTCCAATTAAACAGTCAACTCAGGTGTGAGAGGTTAAGGGACTTGTCCGAAATCATAAAGTAAGGAGATAAATTCAGAACTCAAGTCCAGGCCCTGAGCATGTACATGCAGCCAGTTTGCCCATCCAGGGGCAAACCAGTCTGGGTCACCCTGTGAGCAGGAGCCTGTGATGTCCTCTCCAGACCCTCAGCAGGTATCCCGGTTCCCAACGTCCTTGCAAAGACTGGCCCCAGACCAGGATGATGTCATCACCAGAGCCCAAGACCCGCTGTCCAGAGGGCGAGGGTTGCAGCTTTACACATCAGCAGCCCAAGCAGAGGTACAGGTGCCCTGGGGAGCTAGCGGGTCACCTGCCAGCAAGACCCTCCCCCAGGTTTATGTTCAGATTCGGGGGACAACAGATATGCTAGAAGTGGCTCAGCTGAGGGGCTTTGAGATGCTTCACCCCAAGGTTCCTGCCAGCTCTACAAGACTGTATCGTCACTGAGCCACGACACAATACATTTATAATTTGGAGGTTTATTGATGATCCACTGTGTCATCTGATCTCTTAACCTACTGAAATCCCACATGGTAATTAAGTCAAGTCCAAATAGCCAACAGAGAGAGACCCTCTACCTTAATAAGAATCCCGTTGCTTTTACATGTGTGCCTGCCTTCTACTCCTAAACTCCTTCAGCACACACCCACTGCAGTCCAGGAACCAAATACTGATTTGGTGCATATCCACCCAGTCAGCACTAAGGAGACCTATCCACAGATAAATAGACCCTATGGGGACTTCTCGTTCTCAGCCAAAACCATTTTCTTTGCTGCAAGGAATTATGTCCAGCTCTCAGCACCTTGCAGCCCCTCCCCTCCACCTTCCAGCCCTCTTCTCCTCATTCTCCTCTCTCTTCCTCTGCCAACGAGCCAGGAGCCAGCGACTCAGCCTTTGTTCCACGGGCCTAGTTCCTCTCCCTGCGTACTCCGCTGGCCTCCTCCTCCGCGCTGTTCTCAGGAGGAGCAGGAACGGGGAGAGGACTGAGCTCCACCTCCGGCAGGAGCCTGGGGCGGGCAGGAGGGCCGGAGGCTTTCCTTCAGCCCCACACTGGTCACTTACACTCCTCCTCCGTGCAAGTGATGCAAGTGGCAGCCCCTGGCTACCACGTCCACAGTTCCCAGAATGGGAAGTTGCCCAAGATCCAGAAGTTTGCCAAGAACGAAGAAAATTTGCCTAAAAATTTGCCTAAACATATGCCTTACCCATGATGCAAACCAGAGTTCCCCACAGCGTGAGGTGGACCCTCAGGATGATTTGGGGGGCGATGCATATATGCTTCCTATTTAAGAGTTTTGTATTTAATTTACAATCACCTTCTATTTACAGAAAGGGATACTGGATTTCATGTGTGGTCATGATATGAAGTTTCCTGCTAAAATAAATGTTCTAAGTGAAAAAAGGAGCCAATGTAAGGAAAAGTAGAAAGTAAGTCACTGCACTGGTGGCATCAGGCACGGCCAAACCACATCGGCAGTGACAAACGACTGATGACGGATAGTTCTGACACCAGCTGCACAGGTGCATACCCACCCACAGGCCTGCCTTGTCCTTTGTGAATTAGGAACTGAGCAGAATCTCAAGCAAATGGCAGTGAAGGGACAAATGTTTGCGAGCATCTTTGCTGCATCCAGAACTGTGACAGCCACCTGGCGGGGCGCTCCCGCAGCAAGCCCTGACTCAGGCAGCGTATGGCTTACTTGTGGGAAAGAACAGGTGGAAGCTCGTGGCAGCCGCAGGGGAATGGAGCAAACCAGCGCGTAAGAGAGTGAGGCGGACACGCAGTGGCGAGGGCTCAAGAATGGGAGCCCAGGAGATCTGGATGGGTGTGGAAGAGCCCAGAAACCTCCCTTCCACTCCCACCTCACCACCTGGATCCTAAGAAGTCTCTTTGGGACCCTGGAGACCTTCTTGTGGCAGCTAAAGCCACCCAAGGGCTGCGCTTCTAAAGGTGTGGAAGCCTCGTGCCAGGCGACAGCCATCTCCCGTGTGGCCTGCGGCGGCAGCCGCTCAGGAGCCGGGGCTCACCGCTTAGTCTAGTCAGGTGCCACTGAGGGCCACTCTCCAGCCAGACCTCCGCCCCTGTCCTTGTCCTGTTCTCTGCTGCGGTGGCCGAGCCTTCCCTGTGGCAGTCGGGTCGGCCGCCCAGCCCTGCGAATCCCTCCATGGCAGCAGACGCCGCACACACAGCTGCCGCGGTGTCCTCCCATCTGGAGTTCGGACACCTGTGGGGCCTGTCGCTGTCCTGCTCCCCACGAGGGCCCATCGCCCTGCCCAGCCCACCCGCAGGGTCCCACTGCGGGAGCCGGCCAGCCAGTTCGCCCCCGGCCCTCCGCACGGGGCAGGGATCTGAGCCCCTCAGATTCTCCCTCTGGAATTAGGAACTCTCGGGATTTGGAATCAGAACCCAAAGCCTCCATCTCGCTCTGGGCTGGTCCCTGCAGAGCAGAGGTGCAAAATCGAAGTCAGGGGAAGCCATTCTCTGAGGGTGGCCCGAGACACAGAGAAGGCAGGGCCACAGAGAGGACAGAGAGGTGACGCCAAGCGCTGAGGCCGCCAAGCCGCACTGGTGCTCAGCCGTGGCCAGGTTCTCTGCTTCTCCAAGATAACTCCAGGGCTCCAGAGCCCCACCACACTCGGCAACAAAAGCCGCGCTCCCTCCCTGCCCCCACCACCCATCTCCTGCCACTCTCCCTCCCTGCCCCCACCACCCATCTCCTGCCACTCTCCCTCCCCGACCCCACCACCCATCTCCTGCCACTCTCCCTCCCTGACCCCACCACCCATCTCCTGCCACTCTCCCTCCCAGCACTCACCAGGCTGCGGCCACACCAGATGTCTTAGTCTGTTTGCTGTCACTTTTAACAGAACACCTGAAACTGGGTCATTTATAAAGAAAAGGCATTTATTCCTTACAGTCGCAGGGGAGGAGTCCGAGGTCGGGGCTCACATCTGGTGCGGGCCTTCTGGCTGGCACCCTGCACAGCCCCAGTGCACGCAGGGCACCGCGTGGCAAGCGACCTGCGCATGCTCGTGCACTGTCTCAAGTCTCTCTGCCTCTACTTGTAAAGCCACCAGTTCCCCTCCCATGATAACCTATTAACCCATTAACCCATTAACCCATTAATTCATTCCTGAAAGCAAAGCCCTCATGACCCAATCACCTCTTAAAAGCCCAAACTCTCAATACTGTGACACCGGAGATTAACTTTCAACATGAGTTTCGAGGTGACAAACATTCAAACCATAGCCCCAACCATCACTTCTCAGTTCTCTGAGCAAGCCAGGCTCATTCCGAGTCCAGGGCCTTTGCACTTGCACTGCTTCTGCCAGGCTGGCTTTTTGTGTGTGTCATTCAGGTTTCTGAAGAAATGACACCAGTTTAAGGAAGGCTTCTATGACCACCCTCGCTAGTGTAGGTGCTTAGTCACTGCTCCTTTTTCCGTTACTTGATTTGCTGCATGGGACCAGCTGCCTTGTCCATCTTAGCACCATATCCTCAAGGCCCAGCACAGCACCTGGCACGTCAAAGGCACTCACCAGGCATTTGCTGAGTAAACGGCTGCGCTCTGAGGCTCTGGCCGCCACCAGTCCAGCTAGAGAGCCATGCTGTTGCAAGTGGAGGGTTGCACCTGCCACAGGGCACGGCCATCACTGGGCCCAACGTGCAGGAGTTTCTTGGCCAGCCAGCCAGCTCGAGCAAGTCCTCCTAAGGAAACACAAGGCAGTAAAGAACTTGGCAAATGGATCCCAAGGCTGGTCAAAAGACGGTCACACTCTAAAATATGCATGACCAGATTTTGTGCACTGCACAAGTTTTATCTTTGACCGTACTTATGGAAACATTATTCAAGAACATCATGAACACACAAAAATAAATCTTTAAAAATACCATTTGGACGACATACACATACCAATGAAAGCTTTTCTCTTTCTACTATAGCAGCCCCATTAAGGCACTTTTAAAAAGCAAGTGTGGTATGTTACTGCACCCAGTAACCTGCAAATAAAAATGCACCCAGTTACTACCCACAAATGCAAGCCACCCCAATCTCACCGTCTAGAAAGAGCCACAAGACCCGGGTAGGAGGATGGGGCAGCTCACTAACTCTCCTTCTTGCCTTCTGAGGACTTAACAACGGAGCCCAAAGCAGCAGAAGGTCACGGCTCTGACTCAGACTCAGATGCCTGTCAGAGAATGGCCACAGCCCCCGCCCCCTGCTTTGATAGCTATTCGGTGCCTGCCAGGTGTCAAACACTGGGCAAGACATTTTTTTTTTTTTTTTTTTTTTTGAGACAGAGTCTCACTTTGTTGCCTAGGCTAGAGTGAGTGCCGTGGCGTCAGCCTAGCTCACAGCAACCTCAAACTCCTGGGCTCAAGCGATCCTTCTGTCTCAGCCTCCCAAGTAGCTGGGACTACAGGCATGCGCCACCATGCCCGGCTAATTTTTTCTATATATATTAGTTGGCCAATTAGTTTCTTTCTATTTATAGTAGAGACGGGGTCTCGCTCTTGCTCAGGCTGGTTTTGAACTCCCGACCTCGAGCAATCCGCCCGCCTCGGCCTCCCAGAGAGCTAGGATTACAGGCGTGAGCCACCGCGCCCGGCCTGGGCAAGACATTTTGACACATTGTCACATTTAATCCTACAACCACCCTATGAAGGATATAGTGTTATTCCTGTTCCTGTCTTGAGCAGACTGAAGCTCAGAGGGGCTAAGTAACCTGGCCATGGTCAGGCAGCTAATCAGTGGCAAGACTGGGAGTGTAACCCAGTGGCCTCTGGCTTGAAGCCTTCCCTCCCCACCGGCGCTAAGGCCGGCCCCCACCTCAGTGTGGTCCATAGATTGTCTCTCCTTGTCCTCAAATGGTCCCCTAAGCAGCTGCCATCATCAAACTGAGGCCAAAAGCCCAAGGCCTCCCTTTTTTCCATCTTCCCTAAACACTCGCTGCGCATGGTATGGTGAGTGACACCCGGTCAAGTGCCCTGTCCTCCTGCCTTCCCCAGAGAGCTGTTTCCTCCTCTTTCTCTCTTTTTCTTTTTCTTCATCAATTATCAGCCTTCTTGCCTTAGTTGTACCTAATTTATATCGTTACCCACTTCTCTTTGTTGGTAGCCTTGCCAAAAAGCAAAAAGAGTCTAAACATGTTCTTTGGTTTTCTTTTAGATTATAATCTTACCTTGGTTCCTTTCCATTTGTTTCCTCTGAGGCCTTTCTTGTAGTTATACTTTTCTCTCTCCCTAGTTCTTCTGCCCTTCTCAAAGTTTTAGGATCATAGGGAGAAATATAGTTTTATATACATATATATGGATTCGTTTATATATATTAACTAAGCTCACTTTGATCACCATCAAAATGAAAGTGTTGTGCGACATGATCTGTAATCCTTATTGTTCACTGGTAAAGATGGAGAAATGGGTTATGACTTCTGGAATGAAATACAAAGATCTGGGGATTTGAAAACTCAGGCTCAAACCTGGACTTAGAGCCTTCCAGCTGTGTGAGTCTCAGACAAGAATCTCTGAGCTTCAAGTTTTTATCTGCACAACAATTTCATCTGAGAATAATTTTAGGTTGTAGAGAGGGCTAAACGGGCAATGAATACAAAAGCAGGAAACGCTACCAGAGGTGGGAGGATGCCTACCGAATTGTCCACTGGAGATCCCACCTGGATGGCCGCTAGCCCGCTACATGCAGCCCCTTCTTCTCCAAGTGGGCTGCCCCTCTGTAAGTCCCAGTTCTGCAGCTGAAACTAGGAGGCGTTTTGTCATCCAACATCCAATACACACACACACACACACACACACACACACACACACACGCACACACACATATACTCTTACTCTGCCATGAGCCAGGGACGGTGGCGGGTGCGTAGGATTGGACGCTGGACGTGGCGGGCATGTCTTCCCGGTCAGGGAGCTTATGATTCATCTTAGGTAGGAGAAGGAATAAGACAGACAACAAACAATTAAAACAAATAAATGAACAAGGTAGTAACTGAGAAAGGCCCCCGATTGCGCAGGAAAAGCCTGCACGAAGGCCGGAAGGCAGGAAAGAGCTTGGCCAAACCGCAGTGTAGAAAAAAGGCACTGGAAGGGAACGAGTGAATGCGAGTGGTTTCCACAAGACCTGCGACACCAGCACGGCCAGATCTCGCAGGGCCTTCTGCGTGGACGGGAGTGTGGATGGTATTCTAAGAAGCCTCTGGAATTATAAGCAAGTGAGTGGTATGATTTGGTTTGGGATTTTTTTTTTTAATTTGGAGTGGGTTTTCTTGTTTTGTTTTGTTTTTGTTTTTGTTTTTGTTTTTAATCAATCTGGCTATGAGCAAGGCAGAGAATCTGGATTGGAGGCGTGCTCCAATTGGAGGCAAACATGGAAGCAGGAGGCCAGCTGGTGAACTCTGCGACAGTTCAAGACAGAGATGACTGAGGCTTGGAGAGTGGGAATGGAGAGGGGAAAACGAATGGGCACATGTTTTGGGGTCAGAAACAACAAGAATTGGTGATGAGGTTCACGCAGAGGCAGGAAGGTAAGGAGAATATCAAACATGACTCCTGGGGGCGTTGCTGGAGCAACCAAGTGACAGCGTTTGTGGAGACGGTGGGTGGTGGAGGGGTGGGGTGGAAAAGGTGTTACGGGAGGGGAGGGAGAAGCAGGTGAAGACAGGCTCCCCTTAATGTGCAAAACTCAGGTATCTTGCCAGTTTGTTCCCAGGCTTCCTTCCCATCTTCAATTTGCCACCTGACTTCTCAGGGGATGCCTGCCTGGGCGTCCTCCTCCAACACATCTGCAGTACCTGCATCCACAGGGCTTCCATCAATGGGGGGATGATACTCTTTCCTTCATTGTTCGACTTTTGTGTTGGGATTTCCGTCATGTGCAGATGCGGCAGGCACACCGGGCTCTGGGGTCTAAGCCCAGTCAATGTCCCAACCATGAGTCCTCCCCTCCCCCAGCACCGTCTTTCCCAGCCACACTCAATCACCCAGCTTTAAGCAGAGCTCGGTGGTGTGCTCCTGTGGTCCCAGCTACTCAGGAGGCTGGGGCAGGAGGATGACTTGAGCCCAGGAGTTCAAGGCTGCAGTGAGCTGAGATGGGCCACAGTACTGCAGTAAATCCTGTAAACCACCCATCCGGATGTGGGGGCCATGTGACGTATAGTACTTCTTTCCCCACTGGAGTTTGAGAAGCACTGAGGTGCACTAAAGGGGAGAGTAAACAGAGAGGCTATGTGACCAAGTCTCACATTCAAACCACCTGTCTTTAAACAATCCTCAATCGATGGTGGACACACGTGGGAGAGGGCTGGGACTGGAGGGAGACCTCTTTAGGGACTGCCACCTGCTGAAAGGAGTTTACTCATTTTTGTTTTAAGATTTTACCTCTATAACCTTAACCCCCATGTAGCAGGAAAAAGTTGTCATCATCCTTCACCACTGGGGGCCAATGGATCCTTTTTATTTTTGTGAATAATCTACAGAAGTAGGACTAGAGGGACAGTTTGAAAAAACTTTATTAGAGAATTTAATAACAGCACATTTTCACTGCACATTTTTCTGGTTTTGAATGTGTATGAACCCAAAATGAGCGACATGCTCTGAATGTGACTGCTCACCAGCTGTCACCTGCAAACCTGGGGCAGACCCACCTCATACACACCAATTCCAGGTTGCAAGTAAATCTCACAAGTGCTAGCTCATCATTGCTTCTCCTTACACTTGTATTATACAACGTATTACTTTTGAAAACCTTTGAAAGCTCATAGTTTTGTTCAGAAGTTGGTCATCTTCTTTTCTCCACAATTAGAAAGGATTTTTATTTTTAAGCTTATAAACACCAATTAGAATGACTAATCCAATAATTATTTTTCTTTTGTGTGTATATCACCTATTTCTTTTTGATCACCTTTGTAATCCCCTTTGCTCTGATTTCATCATTTGTCCCCTTCAAACTGTATCAAGTAAATTTTGGTAAATTTACTTTGGTAAATTTACATTGATAAGTGAACATCATAAAAAGTAAAAGAACATTGGCCCCTATTCTTTCATCGAAACAAGATGGTCCAGGTTCATGTTGCAAATATTGCATGATGAAATCATTCCCGTTGAATTACTAACTGGATGAGAATATTTTCTTTTTGTTTAGAAATATATTGTTTACTTTTACATCCTTAAGTTTGAGAAAATTCATCTAGATTATTTTCATGTATGACTCGTCTAAGACTTTGCTTATACAGTGCAACCTGTGTCACCATCACCATTGGAGTCTACGATGCTGCTGTCTCTTTGCATTCGTCTTCTGATTTGTCTAATAATTGTAAATGTTTTCCTCTGTCAATTTTCTTCTTTTACCGTTTTTGTGCAGAAAAAAGAAAAATTCTGTACTCACAACTGTATTCAATGGAGGCAATAATAAGACCACAAAGATGGCGTCTTCTGTCTTCTGTTATGCTTTCTTGAGAGATGATGTAACACTTCAGGCAATGCAATAGAAAAAACTGAATGATGATTTGTTTCACTGCTGCATTATCCTTCTAGGTGATTCCATCATTCTTCCATTTTCTTCTTCTTTTAGTGGTTTTTTTTTTTTTACCATAATTGGTAATAATAGACAAGTAATGATGAAATAATTTATAGGATAATAAAATGGAAGGTATTTAAAATATAAGAAAATTAATATTTAAGATCCTATGATGTATTGTAGATTTATAAATGGTCCCAATGATCTTATATGATAACTTCATGACAGAATGAGTTTCATTCTATTTTTGTTAAAAAGTAAAAGTTCTCTTTGATCTTTGATCTCTAAAAAAAAACAAAAGTCATGAAATATCAATTCTTACAAATAGTTAGAACTGCTCAGGGAAAAAAAAAAAACCTCTAAATCTAAAATGAGGTCCAGTGGGGCCTTATGGCAGAGTGAAGGTTAAATCACATTAATCGATTTGTTCATTTCCTGAAGACTTTCAAAATCTGGTTCACTGGAAAACTGCCCCATAATAGACTCTTCCTTCACCCACTGGAAATCCAACGGTTCTCAGACCAAAGTTGAAACCCAGCCAGGCAGAGCTCGACAGTATTCCACTACCATGATGCCTGCCCCTCCATGGGAGCCAGGAACCCCCTGGCCTGGGATATCCTCTCCTGGAGTTTGTCTCAGCACACAATGAGGAAGCAAAAATTATGACCCAAGGAAAACAGGAAGGGCTTCTGGGATACTATTCAGACTTCCTAGCAAGGCACTAATAAAACTCAGACCACAATCAGGTGCCCCATGTTTACTGCTTTATATTCTTTCCAGTAAATGGATTTATTGTGAAGGATACAGTGTTCCTATTCTCCCGGGCTTTTAAAAATTCTTTTTTATCTTTTATATTTCCAGGCAATCCATGAACTGTCTATTGATCTATGACATAGAGGAAATGCCTAATTCACAAAAGTGTTGTGTTCCAACACTTTGAGAGTTGGTACTTTGGAGAACTCAGAATATATTTTCCTCCAATAAACAATATTATACATGATAGTGAGATCGCCAGGCCAGCCCCACAAAATCCCTCTTAACTCAGAATGTTGTTGAAGCACTTCTACAATATAAGTTAGTAGAAAGCAATTTGGTTGTAGTACTAATAAACAAACTCAAATATTAAAGACATAGTCTCCTTTATCCTGAATTGTACTTAATGAAACAACCAGTTTAATGGAAGGAAAGGAGGAAAGATGGAGACTTTTTAGGGAGAGACCTCTGCTTCCAAGAATTTGGGAGGCTTGATAGCAGCAGGGTGTTATTTTGCCTGTCCGGTTTCACCTTAATACCTTTTTTCATTTTCCTTCAAAGAGGCATGAGTCACAGGAGCCATGATTAGGGTAGATTTGAGGCTCACAAAGGAAGACAGCAAAGGATCCGGGAGGAAGAGAGAAAATAAAAAGTTGCAGATTTCCTTCATGGGGGGATTAAAGCATTTGCTAAGAAAAAGGTGAGGAAATGGGGAGAAGGGAGGAGACGCAGTGTCAGCAGCGCCCCGGGCCCTGGAGGCAGGTAGAGATAAGGAAAGGGTCGGACAGTTCCCTCTCTAACCATAAGGTGGCGCCATGAGCCCAGACAGTCTGCTCCAAGGGGGCGGCCATGCAGCGGGCGGAGCTCCCCACGTGCAAGCCATGTTCTCTCAGGCTCCAGGCTCACAGAGCGCCTGGACTGCGCAGCACGTGTCAGCGTACACCCGCAGTGCCTCGGCACCCAAGAACTGTGCCCATCCTCTAAGGTCACACCTGCTCTCACCTGAGCAAGAACACCTCTGTCCTGCTAGGCACTGCAATTTCCTGAAGGTGCCAGCTCATTCCTTCCCACTCCTCTCCTCCATCTCTGCAATGGCAGCACAGCAAGCCCCCGAGCTCTTCCTAATTCCTAAAGAGAATCTAGTCTAGGATCACCCTGCAGTCTCATCCTTCAATACCGTCAGGATGAATGAGCACGGATCTGTCACCATGGCCCAGCCGTGACACCACGCCCTGGCCGGTCTCTCCCACTTTCACACCCAACTGGCCCACCTCTGCTCCCGAGGCAAACCCCACCGTGTCCCCTCCCTGCATCCACCCCTGCTGGTCCTGCGACCTGCCCTCCTCACTCTCTTTCCCTTGTTGGTACTTGTCATTGTCCTCCCCCATCTTTGGGGAAGGGGGTATTCCAACCTGCCACTAAGTGCTGACCACCTGTATCTGGTGTCGTGGGTTTAGGGAGGAAAACGTGGGCCCCATGCATCAACCACGGAAGCCTCTGGATGCCACAAAGCGGGCCACACCTGCCTCTCCACAGCTGCAGCCAGTCTCTGCCGAACCTCAGGGCAGTACCTGCTGATCTTTCCAAGAGACCGCCTAAGTCTCAATTCTCATCTTGGATCCAGGGGAACACCAAAGTTGTGAGCTTGATGTGTGGCATGGTCCTGTTCTGAATTCGTGTTAGCTCCACAATAGCAACCATAATTATTATTACTGTTCTTTCACCCCCACTCTCACAGCCACTGTCTGCCAAACCAGGCCTAAGTTACAGAGCTAGGGAACCTGCAGGAGGGAGGGAGGATCGCAGCAAAGTCGCCAGTCTGAGCCCCATGCCACTGCTACCCCAGACCTGTGGTCTCGACTGGTGGTCCCAGCCAACTGCCCAGTGGTACTACTAGTGCCTCTGCTTACAACACTTTAAATTTTAGCTGCTGCGTGTTCTTTTGGTTCTAAAGGAACAGTGGGCTCAGATGGGAACTAGGAAGATCTCTTGTAAGACTGGAGCAAATGACCTCATGATGACCTTTTTTTTAATTTCAGCATATTATGGGGGTACAAATTTTAAGGTTGCATATAATGCCCGTGCCTCCCTACCCCCACAAATCTGAGCTTCAAGCCACCTTTTAAATCCTGTAGGTCCTCTGAGGGCAGCCAGAAGGCCCCACAGTAGCAAAAGACAGTGCTAGCCAAAAGCAGTGGGGAGGCAGGACCCAGGAGACCCCCTCTGCTTGGCTGCTGTTCCAGGTGCCCCGGAAGTCTGCATCTACCAAACAAAGGTGGGCTTGTTCCCACTCCCTGGAGCTCTCTCCTATTTGTTTCTCAAAAATACAACAACAACAAAAAAACAGGTGACCAGATACCTTTTTAATGTCAATATGGCTCATGTTCTACACAAAAGGAAAGAAAGTCTCCCCAGCTATATCTATAAGCAATATTGGGGCCAAATAGCCACTAAGCTCCAGAAAACTCATGGCCTTTGGGAGTTAGTTAGGAGAGCCCAGAAAACTGCGGTGTTGTTTATTTTGTTTTGTTTTGAAGGATCTACAGGAGGGGGATTTTCATAACTAATAAAGGAAGCTAAGTTAACTATGCAAACGAAAGCTGGGTGGGCAATGTGAACCGTCCATGTTAACGTACTTGTACCCCCAACTCCCTCCAGAGGTCTGAAGCTGCGGGAGAACAGCTATTGGAATCACCGCGTGAGCCGTCAGTTTCTCGCCCCCGCTGCAGACTCAGACTTTCTGAGCGACCATTTATCGGGGTTCTGAAAGTCGGGCAGGGATGGGGGGCACCTCCCTGGCGCTCCAGCGCAGGGAAGGCCGACTCCGAGCGAGCTCCCCAAGCCCTCCTCACCTTCCTTCCTACTCAGGACAGCTCGACAAGCCCGACAGCTGCGGCCAGCGGCGGTCACCCTGGCCCCCCGCCTCCGCCTCCCCCAACCCGGGTGCGCCCGGACCGAGGCAGGGAAGGGCAGGAGCTGAGCAGCGGCCGAAGGATGACCTGCCGCGCGCCTCCGCACCCCCTCCCCCAGCCGTGTCACATGGCGGCCCCAACCCGGCCGCCAGTGCGCCCCGCTGCGGAGACCCGGGCGCGTCGCCGCGGGCAGTGGGTGATGAAACTTCCCAGGCGCATTACCGCAGAGGGCGCGGGCGGGAGCCGGGCGGGGGCCGGGGGCTGAGAGCTGGTACCCGGGCTCACCTGTTCTCCAGGAGTAGGGCGGGGACTTGGGGGAGGGGCGAGGGCGAGCCACACCGCTGCATGCCCGGGACACTGGTGGCAGCGCTCGCGTCCCCGCCCTCCCCAGCCCTGCGAGACCACCAAGCTGCGCCGTCGGGTTGACAAGGCCGGGAGCAGTTCCTGTCCCTGGCTCGGCGCGGGGGAGACGTGAGCGTGCACACGTACACACACAGCAGGGGAAGAGGCGCTCCAAGCGGCGCCCAACTTTCTCTCAGCTTCTGCAGGCCAGGGGAGAAAGCAGCTGGGAGCAGTCCAACCCTGGCCGTGCTTGGGGAGGGGGTCGAACAAGAAGGGAGAAAAGATGGAGAGAATTTCCCCTCTCTTTTTTTCTTTGTTTGCACCCCTTCCATCCGATGACTCTAGAGTAAAGGGAACCTGAAGCGGAGCGGCAAGTAGCGCTTTGGGAAAATGCAAGAGTGTGTTTGGAGACGCGAAGTTGCCTTTCAAGCTCTGGCCTCCGGGCACGCGATGCTCCGCGGCGGGCTGACTCAGGGCTGTCTGGGCCTCCCTGCCACCCTCCTGGAAATGATGCAAGTCTGACTGTCACCTGGATCCCTGCAGCCCAGCGTGGAATCCGTCTGGGTTGGGGGAGGGCCGAGAAACGACACCCCAGGTGTTGCACGGCCCACCAAAGCAGAAAGGGCTGTTGCTCAGGCCAAATACTATATCTACTGCTTCTGCGCCTATCTTCAATCGTGCTTTATTTTTTTTTTAATGCAGAGTGTCACAACGCTAGGAATTCCCATACGTGCTCAGTTGGCCCACAGCATCTCTGTGCCCAGGAAACTGCTCCAAAAAAGGCCTCGGAGCTGGGAATCTCACTAAATTGGAAAAGGTGGAAAGAAACTTTCCCAGCCCGATGCGGTGTGATGCGAGCCAGGGACCTGGAAGACGCTGTCCCAGAGCAGTCCGCCCCACTTGCCCTTCTCCAGCTGTAACTAGCGCTGGGATTCGCTTCTGTAACGAGTGCCGAAGTCCGTGCGGCCATTGCCCGGGAGCCCCCGCACACGCGCGCGCATCTCCGGCCGCGCTCGCACTCACACGCGCACGCGGACGCCCGGGCCGCCAGGTCTGCAACTTTGTCGGGCGCTCCCAGCGGCGCTCGGCTTCCTCTCGTAGTAGTTGGGCGCAGGCCCCGCCTCCCGGCCGTGTTGTCAAACGGGCCGGGGTCCCGGATTGGTCCAGCCGCCGGGACAACACCTGCTCGACTCCTTCATTCAAGTGACACCAGAGCTTCCAGGGATATTTGAGGCACCATCCCTGCCATTGCCGGGCATTCGCGGCGCTGCTAACGGCCTGGTCACATGCTCTCTGGAGAGCTACGGGAGGGCGCTGGGTAACCTCTATCGGAGCCGCGGCCGCGAGGAAGAGGGAAAAGGCAAGCTAGGAGGAAGAGTGGGAGGAGGAGGGGAAGCGGCGGAGGAGGAAGAGGAGGAGGAGGAGCAGGAGGGGAGCACAAAGAATCCAGGTCTCCCGGCGGGAGGTTTATACCAAGAACCATGTGTGCCGAGCGGCTGGGCCAGTTCGTGACCCTGGCTTTGGTGTTGGCCACCTTCGACCCAGCGCGAGGGACCGACGCCACCAACCCTCCCGAGGGTCCCCAAGACAGGGGCTCCCAGCAGAAAGGTCGCCTATCCCTGCAGAACACAGGTAAGTGCGTGCGCCCCCGTGGCCGGGAGCTGCTGGGAGGGGATACCCTGCACCCACGCAGCGCACCCCGGGCATTTCGCACAGAGCCGGACGCCCACCCCGGGCCACGCAAACTCTTGGTGTGGCGCGGGACGTGCAAAGGGAAGCGCGAGGCTAAGCGAGGTCCGCGCCGGGCTCCAAGCGCCCGGAATCTGCACGTGCTAGCAGGGTGATGAAATGGCTGTGGCAGGACTTGTTGCTGTCCTCCCCAGGGTGGAGGGGAAATGAGGCAGCGCCTGACGCTGCCAGCGCCAGTCCCCTCCCGCGAGTCCCGGGCCCGGTGCAAAGCGCACTTCATCGCCGGCGGCCCGCGGGAGGCACTAAGGGTGCCAGAAGCTGGGCTGCGCCCTGCGCCCGGAGAACTTCCCTTCCCAGCCGGCCGGCCTCGGCAGGACCGCTTCTCCCCCTCCTCAAAAGATGCCCGACATCCCAGAACTTTCCGGGTCAGACCGACTGCATGGCGAACTTTCCCCCTGGGCACTGCTTGCGGAAGGAAGGTGGGGGCGGCGCGAGCGTACCTCCGCGGTGGAGCCGCCATCCCCTGCTGCTGGCCAGGTCGGCGAGCGAAGAAATGGTGGCGCGACCCGAACCGTGCGCCTCCTCTGCTCGACCGGCTCTTGGCTCACGGACCAGCTGCAGAGCAGAGCCAGGCGTGCAGGGCACGGGGCTGGCCCTTTTCCCAGCTCCGGGGGAGAGAAAGAAAATCTGCCTACAGCTCCTCCGCCCCGCGCCCCACCCCCCGGTATTTTGGGGGCTGAGCAAACGCGGCGGCGGCGGCGTGCGCTCACCGCACGAGCAGGAATGCACGAGTGCCCATTAGGGACGCCCCAGTGAGCGAGTCGCGGTCCTCACGGGCGCCGGGCCGCGCGTGGGCTCATCCAGAGCCTCTCGCCTCCACATCCCGGGCGGCGTCCCCCGCACCCCAGGACCTTCGCCCACCCTCCCCCTCTCTGGCGCTTTCTTTGAGAACTGAACGTGATTCTCGGTAGTTGGTGACCCTCAACAATGCACGCCCCTCATTCTCTCGCTAGATTTAATCTGAATGCAGATTATCTGCTCCGACCCCGCCCTTCTCCAAAATATACTTTTCTGATGTAATTTTGTGGTTGGTTTAAATCAGAGACTTGAGGAGGGGGAGGGGGAAGGAGAGACTTTGCACGCGGCAGCCTGACAGTTAACTCCCTCAGTCTGTCCTTTCAGAGAGACAAATTAGGGCCACATTCTGCGACCAAAGGCAGCAAGCTCCTGGGCCTCGGGAATTCTAGGGGATTAAGTGACATCTCACACCGGATCCCTAACTAAAAGGAGCCTCTAACTGCGGATGGCCACGTTTTCGAAGGCGAGCCCCCACCTGACTGGACTCCAGAGCCTGCTCGCCAGCCTGCTCACAAACCGCAGCTTCCCTGCCCTGGTATTTTAATGCGGATGGTTTGGAGGCGCTGCCTTAATAGGAATTTTGTTTTGATTTTTAGGTGTTGAATCATAAAGCTGAATAGAAACTGCTTTTGGGACGCTGTCATTTGGGGGTCAGGAAGGAAATGGCTGTGATTTAATAGCAGCCTCTTCTACAGATCCAAGTAGAGAGGGTATTCCATTGATGAAGTACAGTCTTCATCTTAAAATCTTATTTTTGTCTGTGGGTTCAAAAGGGTGAAATATTTTCTGTCTCAAACTAAGTATTGCCACAAATACTTCAAGAAAATGGAAAGGATGAAAAGAAGGATTGCTCCGACCTAACGTCTGGTTGTGATTTTTGTAAATTTTTTGGCTAATTTTTACAAATATTTACAAATATATATATTTTTATTGGGTAGATTAAATGATGAAATGTTGTTTCCCAGGCTTTTTTAGGTCCTAGAAGTCATTACTAACTTTTTTTTAATTTTTATTTTAGTTGTTACTAACTTTTGCTTCAAATGACCTCTCTGCATTCTTCAGCATGGGTTAGAGTTTTGTATATATTTGTATGTGATTTTCCTTTTAGCGGAGATCCAGCACTGTTTGGTCAACGCTGGCGATGTGGGGTGTGGCGTGTTTGAATGTTTCGAGAACAACTCTTGTGAGATTCGGGGCTTACATGGGATTTGCATGACTTTTCTGCACAACGCTGGAAAATTTGATGCCCAGGTAAAAACCATTTAGATAAAGCATGAAGAGTGTTTTGGGTGAGCATAGCATGATTGAAACATTCAGTCACTGGAAAGCCTTGTTAACAGATTGCCTGAGCTGTTCTTTGTGTTGTAATGTTTTAGTGCTTGCAAGAGACATTCTAGGTGTGCAGTGAGATGCCCGTATCTCCCCCACTGCACTCATGTTCAGAGAGCACTGGAGCTGTCATGTAAGTTAAATCCATCTACACTCTTAAGTTGTGTCCACACAGGCAGAGTGGACTGGAGACCAATGTCATAATAAATGATAAATACCTGGTAAGGAGACACACCCCATCTGGCCACCCAGAATCTAGTCCCCAAAGCCCATTGCATTAGGTATAATGGAGGGCAGGGCAGAGGCCCCAAGTATATATTGCAAACGCTATTTTCACCTAATAGGGAAGACCAGATGAGACACAAAATTTGTAGTAATTAATAATCGTGTGTATGTGTGTGTGTGTGTGTGTGTGTACAGGCAACCTGAATAATGCAGGGCCTGCCAGAGAGCAGCTTTTTATTCCTCCTATGTAGCAGACCCTTATTTCCCAAGCTGAAAAGTCAAAACCCTGAATAAGTCCCGCAATTCCACACTTTTCTTTTGCTCTATATAATAAATATAGTCAGGGCCTGACCCACTTCAGTGGTGCCAGGGTCCCACGGGCAACACAGAGTTGCTGCTCAGGGCAGGGCAAGAACACAACAAGCAACCTTATGGCTCCAGTGCCGACAACCTAGATACGTTTTTAGATGGCATGTGGCATGAGGCTCACCTTCTGCATTTTCTCCCTGGCCCCTACATTTCTCCCTGGCTGAAACACTCTGTTGTTGTATCTCATAAACTTCCTCTCCCATTTCACTGGAGAGCAACGAAAACATTTGGAGGACACCAACAGTGTAGGCATAATTTATGAAGATCACCGGTCACCATCCTCTGACATCCTGTAGTGAGCAATGCCTGGGAACCAGAAGGGGACTCAATGGCCAGCAGCCTAGACTGCAGAGGGTGTGAGGTGGCAGGAGGGAAACAGAAACCAGGGAAGGAAAGAAGTAGAACTTGGAACTCCTCAAGGCTCCCTTATAAAGCATCGCTTCTGGATTAACTGGAATTAGGAAATGTAATGGGAAATCCGGAGGAAAGATGTGTATTTAAGGGCAATCCCACAGGATGTCAGGGAAGAATACCAAGAACAGATTGCTGCAGCCCTCGCATAAATTAATCTTCCTTTTTTCCTCAACCAACAGGAATATATTCTCAAGTTAGAAGCATCCCTTTCAAGTTGATTCCCAGCACATAACTTCTTAATAAACTGGCACACCCCCCCTCCACTCCGTTTGGCTCTCACCGAAAAGTCAAAGGGGAGGGACCCCAGGGGGGGTGGTTGGCCCACATGGCTTTTCAGAGATCAGACACGATCTGTGGACCTTTCACTTGCTTCTGAAGAGAGAACCAAAATAAATGTGCCGGCTGGCTTTCTGCTTCCAACCTAAACCCATTTACTTTCTCAACTCAGTGACTTCCGGGCCTGTCTAAAAACAGAGGGGTGACCTCTCCGACGACAGCTTGTTTCTATAGCAATGGAGGGGGCCGGGAGCCCTGGGTAGGCATCCCACAGTGCCTCGGCCTCAGGAGGTTGATAAGGGAGCTAACACCCAGCTCGCCTCCACACCCCCAACAGCTGTCTCCTTTCTAGGATAAGCGCAGTCTAGGGGTTGCCAGGAAAGAGCTGCAGGCCAGATGTATGCCTGGCGGCCTGAGCCACTGAGACGCAGGGACGTGGGGGAGGGGCCGTCCGTTGGGCAGTTCAGACTCCAGATGCTGCCAGGCAGTGTGCCAGGCGGGCCTTTGAGAGGCAGTAATCCTCACAGTTTAAAGGAGTAGAATCCTTTTCGAAAAGGAAAAGACTGCTCCTCCTTGAAGGATAGGAGGAGACAAGGGTTTGAATTTGAGGCGGTGGGAGACATGGAGGCAGAAAGGGGACGCACGGTTAGCGACCCATCTTGGTGCCGCTCCTGAAATGGAAGGAAAAAGGGAAAGTGTGAAATTTGGACAAACGGGCATCTTCCACTTGGGAAGAATGCCTGCTGAGAACCACAAAGGAGTTCTGGACTCGTGTCTGGCCAGATTCCCCTTGTGCTCCAGAGAAGTTGCCACCGAGCAGCCAACACTGAGCCGCCCGAGGACAGACAGGAGGACAGACAGCCGTGGAGCCCGGGTTGGAGGGAGGAGGGAGCTGTGTGAGTGCGGGACTGAACATCTCACGTGACCAGACATGGGCCGTGAGGCTCCCCCTGGACATGCGCTAGAGTAACAAGGACTCCTGTCTTCTGCTCGTCTCCCCGTCCTCTCTGTTCTCAGGGCAAGTCGTTCATCAAAGACGCCTTGAAGTGCAAGGCCCACGCCCTGCGGCACAGGTTCGGCTGCATAAGCCGGAAGTGCCCGGCCATCAAGGAGATGGTGTTCCAGCTGCAGCGGGAGTGCTACCTCAAGCACGACCTGTGCGCGGCCGCGCAGGAGAACACGCGGGTCATCGTGGAGATGATACATTTCAAGGACTTGCTGCTGCACGAGTGAGTACCCCGTGGGCCTGGCAGGAGGGGCTGCCCGGCGAGGGCAGCGGCAGGGTGGGGCAGACTTGGGGCAGTTTGGGAGACCGCACTCCCGTCAAAGCGAGAAGGTTGCGGTTTACCTCGGAAAACTGCAGGGACTCCCCAAGGAGGCCTCTTTCCTGCTGGCTTTCAGGAAAAGGAAAAGAGATTTCCATCATCAGTTTCAAAGTCACAAGCAATAGAAATGGGAATTTTTTTTTTACTAAGCGTGACGTGTGTAGATTCAGAAAGACTTCGTCTTGTCCTTGGCCGGGAACCCAAGAGTTCTCTGAATATTCCGAGTAGCAGTGGAGGTGTCCTTACAGACAGCAGTAGCTGAGAACATTTGTTGAACATTTACTAAGTGCCAGTCCTGGGGCCAAATGCTCCGTGTGAGCTTTCCACCTAATCTCACAGCAGCCTGTGAGCTGGGGCCCACTGCCCTCCATTCCACAGACGGGGAGGCCGGACTCGCCGAGGTGAGGGACACACAGGTAGTGACAGACAGAGCCAGGCTTGGCACCCACGCAGTCTGGCTCCAGAACCTACACTCTTAAATGCCAAAAACTGAGAGCACTCGTTGTTTTTCCTGCCTCCATAAGCTTTCCTTTCCCTTAGAAGGTCCAGTTCACTTGCTCTAATACATGAATGCCCTCCCAGAAAAAAATGCAAAACAAATGTCAAAAACTTTAAGCAGCTAAATACTTTTATGCCAAAGGAAATGAGAACTAACTTACTCAAAGACTTGAAATTCAGTGATAAACCCAGGATAACGTCATTCCTTAAAACATCCCAGCTGTAGGATCCTCAGTTTTGCAGCATGGTAAACCATGTTGGTACATAATTTCTTCTAACATGAGGTACAGTCAGTAGCCCCTGGAGATTACGATGGCAGGGCAGAAAGAAAGCCACCAGCTAAACAGTCCAGTACAATTCACTGCCAGCTTCAGGGCACCCTTGGTCTTTCCACAGTGACTCACTGGGCCAAGCTGCAACTTTATGAACTCTTGCTTCTTAGTTCGTGCCACAACCTTCTTCTAGCTACGTCACTAAACAGGCTACCCCCGCCACTCCAACACCACTTAGACCATGAAGGACAATAGCCAGCTCCTGTCACTTTCCGGTGGTTATAAGGTTCTAGGTATCTTGCAACACCCCTGGGACAGTGTGAGAATTATATGATTCATGGTAAAACTCTGCAGGGAGCTCTTGCCAAAAGCAAGATAACATTGCATTTTCCTTGAGTTATGCCAATGCCTCATAAAATATTTTTTATTCTTCCAAATACCTGTAAAAAAAAAAGTAACAACAACAACAATAATTGCTATCTTTTTAAGATGTTACACACCCTTGGCCAGGGCTTTACAGGGATTACCTCATTTATCTTTCCCAAAGATGCTACCAGATAGAAATTACCATCCCCATTCCACAGAGGAGGAAAGTGAAGCTAAGAGGTTAAAGAACTTGCGCTAAGGTTTGGTTCCTACCTTCAGCTTTGGAATTGCTGGGATAGATGACTGAAGCCAGTTGTAGGCTTGAAACTTCGCTGCTCCTGGCCTATCCTGTCTCCACTAGACCTGCAAAGGGCTCACTGGTCACCAAATGTGGCAGGATTTTCATCCTTTTCAAAAATATATCCCTATCACACAAGAAGAGTACCGTGAAATCCTCTTCCTTCAAGTGCCTGGAAAAGGCAAACGCCCCGTGGCTGAGTCCCTGTAACATTCATGTGCCTCATCCACTCTCACCCATTAGAGAGAGTTTGTTGGCCTCAAGAGTGTGTGATGGGGTGCTAGTGTATAAGTCTAGAATACCTGCCTGGAGCACTAGAAGACTGTCTTTTAGGAGAAAAATCATCTTTGGGAAACCTGAAGGTTTTAGTTTTCCTCCTCCTCCACCTTGACTTTAAGATAAAGTAGATAGTAGCTTTCTAGTGTCTCCTTGGGGACATGGTCCTTGGAGCCAAGGAACCTTAGAGCCAAGGAACTTTCCAAAGGGTTCCTCATATCATTAGAATGAGCATGTGGCTCCCACCCCAGCCTGCTCTGGAAGTGCAGGTGGCCCAACCCACCGAGAATCCTGGGCCTCTGTTAAGGACACTCACCATGGTCACAGGCAGGTCCTCCTGCTTCCTGCCAGCCAGCACCTCCAAGCAGTGGGTCTCCCCTAACTCCAGCCCCCTGGAAACTCCCATCACCTGCCCTTCTGAAGCCACAACTATGCAGTGCATCAACTTGTACTTCAAGCTGAATTGCCTGAGTCTTTTGGTTTTTTATTTTTTAAACCACATTAACTGATTAAAGAATCTTATCAGTCTGTAAATACCAAAAGGTCCTTTTCAGAATGTGTAGCATTGGTTTCAAACAAGAAAATGAGACCCAAATTTGCTTTTCACTTTAGAGAAAAGGAAATCACAGTCCCCCCACCACGATCTACAGCACCCCCGTTCTTCAACCCAGTCCCCATCCGGCCCTGAACACTCAGGCCCCGTGAAGGCAGCTTTTTGAGGATCTCTGTTCTGTCCCTTCTGCTCCCCTCACCCCCTGCTGTCTGCCCTCTCTCTATATACTGCCTGCCTCCCCCTAGCTGCAGCCGGCCTGCTTGGGCCTCCCTGTCACTGGGTGCTGCCTCCAAGCACATCTCCCTCATGCATTTTTTCAAATCCTTTAGCCTTGCAGACACCCAGTTGAGCGAGCTGGGCTTTGTCATTAGACACGGGCTGAGCTTGCAGCCTGAGAAGGCACCCTGCCAGCTGAGAGCACTGCTTAGGCTTAGATTAACTTGGTTCAGCACACACACACCCCTCCCTGCGGGTCACAGCTTCCTCCCCCAGAGACAGGGCCAAGGGCAGAGGAGAGTGTGGGCTCCTCCAGCCTTCTCGGACCTTGGGGTTCTGAGTGCGTATGGCGCAAGGATGGAAGGAAGGCCCTGGCGAAGCAGACGGAGGTGCAGGAGAGGCAGTCTGTACGTTCCCAAGAGAGCCCGCCCCTTACTCCAGGGAAAGAAGCTTGAACAAAAGCATCCCTTTAGTATCCTAAAAAGACAGCTCCAAAATGCGCTTGGCTAGCCCCAGAGGGGTGGCAGGTACGGTCAGGTGCTAAAATCCTGCTGTAGCTTTAGCAGATACACTCAGTGAACTTGAGCTCCCTGAGGAAACTTCTAGTTTTCAAAAGATGGAAGGAAACAAACATGCACTGAGCACTTCCCTTGTGTTGCCACAGGTATGACCGCCTCAGGGTAGCCCAAAGAGACAGTGTTACCGGCTTCAGGGCCTGCCTCAGAGGGCTCAGCACTTTGCCCATCAGCCTGCACAGACTGTCTGACTCCAAAGGCATGGAGTCGGCCCTAAAAAGCAGCTAGATCTTTATCAGCCAGAACATTCCTTCTCTCTGCTCTTAGCCCAGCCCTGAAACCCTCCTAGCCCAGAAGCTTCCAAAAGCCACCTTCTCCCCCCTCTTTTCAGTTTTTCATCCACAAAATGAAGACAGTTCACTCAATTGCAACTGGAAGACTAATTAATAAAAATGGCAGTAAACTACTTCATACTCTTAAAACACAACTCTGCTCTTTCTGCGTAGCAACAACTGCCAACTTGCAAGGGAAAGATTGCACAGGCTATAGCAGAGCCTCCCAGGTGGCCCAGACTTACAGAAGAAAACTGGGTTTGCTCCTTGTTATAAAGGATCTCACATTCCAGCCTGATTTCCCTGCTCAAGGTGATGGCCCACAGCCACGATGCTCATGGTCAGATACATCCAGAAACTTTGCCCTCGAGGGCTGCCTAGGAATGCTGGTTAGCCACAGGAAACATTCCATGCCCCCTTGGGGATTTTAAAAGGCTAAAAGCCTCTAGGAGAGGGCCATGAGAGCCCACTGCTGGGGTGTCCCTTACCAGATGGGGCCATAAATATAAAAAGCAGGCGCAGCTGCTCTGCCTTCTGGGCACTCTGTCCGAGGCCTGGACTAAACTCCTGCAGCAGTTTCCTAAAGAATAACCCAAGGCAACCGGAAGGGCTCTGCCTTCCAGAACTGAGCCTGTTCATTTCCCAGAGAGCTGATTCTCAATCCAAACACATGGCCCCTTACTGCCAGCCTTCACCCCAAGTTCTGGGGAAGCCCAGACTGAAAGGAAAAGGTGCTTGGATGGCCACTCCCAGCCCCTGCCTCTACTACCAAGACAGGGAAATGCCCCACGGGAGATGACATCCCAGGGAAGGGGTCTTCCTCCTACCCCTCCTCACCTAGTCCACACTCCTCCAGACACAGAGGGAAGTATATCCAGTAACTTCTAAAAACACCCTACTTCATCGTGAGCCTAAACCGGGGCAAACGCGGACTTGAGGAAAATGGCCTCCTGGGCACCTCGCTTAGAGGAGGCGCTGGAAGAGTGGCCCGTGGTGCGGCAGGTGACGTGGGCTCACCCAGGCCGCTCAGGAGCCTTTCTCCAGGCCCTAAGCATCCATGGCTTCTCCTTCCTTACCAGAAAGACTCCTCCGTTTGGGATTTAGGCCCCGCACCATTGGCCTAAGTGTTATTCGTTCCGCTGGCCCCAAGACCCGTCGCCTAGCTAGAGCAGCCTGAAGTGCCCAGAGCTCTCTTGCCCTCCTTCCGTCGATCGCACGGATGCCCTACCTGGAGTGCTTGCCCTCCCCAGAGGTTCTTCCCGTTAGTGTCCCGGCCCTAGGCTCCCACCCTGTGCACCTGTGACTTGTCACTGTCACTCTTTCCCGTGGCGGGCTCTCTACCACTACTGCGAGAGTGGGAGCCTTCCCACGCCTCTAACTTCCGGCGCCTGGTGTGCAGCCTGGCACACAGTGGCCGCCCAGTAAATGTTGGTTGGGTCCAGTACTCCATACAATACAGAATAAAGGGTTGAAGCAATTCCAGAAAGATCTTTCACCAAACCACAACCAAACCAAGCGCTAGCCGTACCTCTTTCCTGGCATTGTCCCTGGCGTCGAGGCCCGTCCGGGACTCGTTCCATTCTCGGCATCTCTGTGTCTTTGCTTTCACTCTCTAGACCCTACGTGGACCTCGTGAACTTGCTGCTGACCTGTGGGGAGGAGGTGAAGGAGGCCATCACCCACAGCGTTCAGGCTCAGTGTGAGCAGAACTGGGGGGGCCTGTGCTCCATCCTGAGCTTCTGCACCTCGGCCCTGCACCGGCCGCCCACGGTGCCGCCCGAGCGCCAGCTCCAGGTGGACAGAGCCAGGCTGCCCCGGGCCCACCGCGGGGAAGCGGGCCATCGCCTCCCGGAGCCCGGCAGTAGGGAGGCCGGCCGAGGTGCCAAGGGCGAGGGAGGTAGCAAGAGCCACCCAAACGCCCATGCCCGGGACAGAGCCGGGGGTCTCGGGGCCCAGGGACCTTCTGGAAGCAGCGAGTCGGAGGATGAACAGTCCGAGTATTCTGATATCCGGAGGTGAAACGAAAGGCCTGGCCACGAAATCTTTCCTCCACGCCGTCCATTTTCTTATCTATGGACATTCCAAAACATTTACCATTAAAGAGGGGGGACGTCACGCAGGATTTTGTGGGGCTTGTGGACTTCATGAAGGTGTATGTTAGCGGAATGAACAGGTGAGGCGGGGACTCTGGGGCAGCGAGGTCTCGGTGGTGCCTGGCGGAATCTGCCCTCCTGAGCGGGAGCGTGCGGCGCCCTCCTGGCCACTTGTCTTCCTTCCATGCACAGGGCCAGTGGGGGGCAGCTGCTCTGCGGTGGGGGAGGGGCGGGGGCAGGCCCACCTGGGCTGGACCACACAGTGGGCGCTGGGCCCCACCCGGAGCTCCTGGTGCAGCAGCTCCTGGTGCTGTCTCCCTGGAGGTCGCGGCAGCAGTGAATGCGAAGCTATCACCGGAATGCAGGGCAGGCTGGAGAGGAGGCAGGGCCCGAGGGGTGCTTGGTGCCAAACCAAAATTCGGTTTCTTGCATGGGACCTTGCAGTGCAGAGCTGCTCAGGGGGTGGGGGGACGAGTGTAATGTCTATGTGTAACTTCTGAGCCATTGTTCTGTCTGGGGGACACTGTCCAAGGAAGTGGCCCCGGAGTTTATATTTTAACCACTGCTTCAAATCTCAATTTCACTTTTTTATTTATCCAGTTACATCTACATATCTGTCGTCTAAATAAATGGCTTTTAAACAAAGCAACTGGGTCATTAAAACCAGCTCAAAAGAGGGGGGAAAACCCCCAGCCCATCCTTTGGGGCTGATTTTGTTTTGTTTTGTTTTTGTCTTAAGTCCTATTTAAAAAGGAATCAAACAGCAGTGTGGCTGTACATCTGACCTCCTAACTTGGGCCCGTACCCACTTGGGGCAAATCTTCTCCCCAGGGAAAAGGCACACAGGAAGGATACCTTTGACAGATTGCCCTTAGAACTCTGTCTTCTCACCTTGACCACCAGCCAAGATCGATAAGGCACCTTACTGGGGATCCTGTGAGGCCCAGTTGGAAACCCGACTTCTCCGTGCTAGAGCATGGGAAAGGGGAGAAGAGGATGAAGACTACTTTGCAATTCCCATTAGGAAATGCTGACCTTTTGCATAAATGGAGGAGACTGCTGCAAATCTCTAAGGGACAGGATTTTCCAGATCCTAATTGGAAATTTAGCAACGAGGAGTCAAAGTGGACAAAAGAAAGGCAGAGAGAAGAGATGGAGCTTAAAATACAAGGAAGGGAGGGAGAGGATTATCATGGAAAATGTCAGCAGTGGATTTATTGTGGTTACGTAAAACATCTCATAGATAGGCCTTTTTTTTTCCTAAAGGCTATCAAATTAAAGCTTGTCCTTTCTCGAAGCCAGTCTCAAATGGGAGCTGTATTGTGGGGGGGGGGGGGGAGGCGTTCTTAGCCAGCCCTCCTGGAGCGGGTCGGCTCACTTTTGCTGTAAAGGACCAGACAGCAAATGCTGTACTTTTCAGTTTGGCAGACCACGAGGTCTCTGTCGAAACTACTCAACTCTGCCATTGTAGCACAAAAGCAGCCATAGACAGCACATAAACGAAAGGGCTTGGCTCTGCTCCAGTAAGACTTTATTTAACAGGCCAGAGACCAAGAAGTTAAATGTGTCTGCTCTAAAATGACTTGTTCTAGGGAATAGCGTTACCCAAAGCTCAGCTAGCATTTATATGCCCCAAATCCAACCCCAATCTTCCACGGTCCATGTTGGGAAAAACTCATCTGGGGGAAGGGAACGTGCCAGGAGACGCACCCAGCAAGAGCTGGGGCTGCAGCGAGCGGAGGAGCTGGTGCACTTAATCCAGCTCTGCCTCAGGGGGAGGAGGACCTGCGCGTCCGGCTCTGCCATGGGAACCAGGCTGTCCCCTGCGCGGCCACTGCAGCGCATTGACTGTTTCACTCACATCACTCAAAAGCTAAAGCAATAACATTCTCCTCACTGCTGAGTCAGCAGTCCATTTGTTCTCCAGCTCCTGGACTGGACGTGTGAAAGGCATCACTTTTATATTTTCCTCCGTGTAAATGTTTTATGTGTTCGCCTACTGATGTCCCATTTGTTGCTTCTATTGTAAATATTTGTCATCTGTATTTATTACCTCTGTGTTTCCCCCCCTAAGGCATAAAATTGCTTACCATGTTCATTTGAACCTATTTGCTGATCTCTGTTGTGTATTTTTCATGCCACTGACTTGTTTTTTTCTCAGAAGTCAGATAGATATATCATTTCATTCTGGTTCCTAATGTTACCAGAAGCATACAAGAGTATTTATTGCTTAGATTCTTCTACTCAAAACCGAAGAAAGTCCAAATTCCTGTTAGCAATGATTTGGGGCATTTGCACAATCTAAAATGTAAGCAAAGTAGTCATTAAAAATAGACCCTGTGCTTGGGTTTCATGCTTCATACAGATTTATCACAAGCCTTCCTTTGAGGAAGGTGCAGATCTCCAAATAAAGACATGATGTTTATTTTGAGCTTTGCATCTTAACGAGATGATCTGAACACCTCTCCTTTGCATCAGTAAAGAGCCCTGTGATTCTGACATGAGAGGCCAAGTATATAAAATGCTGACACTAAAACTAAATAAATAGAAACTACCAGCCCAGAACTGCAGTCATACTTTGAGACTCACACACACAAAGGGAGAGATTCAAACTCAAACCAAGCAAGAGGCTTTTGCTAAACAACATGGAAAAACAATGCTTCCAGTGGCCGCTTCCTAAGGAAGAACAACAGCCCCGTCTGATCTCAGAGTTGGCACCGCGCGAGCTTGCTAAGTCATAGTATCTGTTTCTGTTCTGGATTTAGGCAACAGGACCTGTGCGTTGACACACTGCATTATTTTTCTTCAAGCATTAATAAAGGTTTTAAATAAATGGCTTCCACTTGAGCAGCGTCATTGTCTTGAGAGGGCTTTTGACACCCAGTGTGCATGGGGATAGCTGTGAGCAAGTGGGCTTTTAAGTCGGGAGAATGCTGTGTTTCTGGGGGAAGTTCAGCCTGCAGGAGGAAACCCGGACAGAGAAGACCGCCTGGGCTTCTCCTCCAGAGGGAGTCTGCCAAGACCCTGCCTGAGTCACCCAGATAAAGAGAATGAATTTCATGCAGCTGGCCTGGAAGCGCCACGCCCCACACCCCACCGGGGAGGTCCTCACAGCTCAGTCTGGTCTCATCTTTGAGTGTCCCTGTGACCTGGCCAACCCTCCTCTCAGACCAGCCTCCAGCAGCCGCCACCAGCTTTACAGCTGCACCGGCCTGGTCCACACAGGGGAGCCCACCACCTACCCCCCAGTTCTTCCTCAGGACAGCAAAATGGAGCTGGAGTCCCTGGTCAACTCGATTTATACCATGTTGGTGTACCTACTGTGCGCCAGGCACCACAATAGACATTTTACATGCATTATCTCAGCTTCAACATGTTCCCCTAAAAGTAGGCATTAACCCCATTTTCCAGGCCAAGAAACTGAGGTACAGACTTATCCCAGACTGTGTGGGGAGTGAGTGGGGGCTCTGAACGCAAACCTAGATCAGGACTCCTAAGCCCACATGCCTTCCCTCACTTCAAACCTAGAATCTCCACTTCCAGTTTATTTTTAATTTAAACCAATCAGTATTATTGTCATTTTACAGGAGAGTTAGAGAATGAATAATTATATACTTATATTTATAGCCCCAGGCCTCTGAGGAATTCCACTGCAGGATGGAAAGGAAAATTGATGTTCTTACCTTTGTTCTCTGCAAAGACTCAAGTTTTGGTTCAGCTACAGGAAAACAGGAGAACCGTGGAGCTTCATCACTTTTTTTTGCATGTGGGTAGTTTTTTCAAAGGTTCTTTATGTGTGCCACTGAGGAAAGAATTTTAGGAGCCACTGGCGTTCATGAAGATGCAGTTAGAGCTTTGTTCACTAAACTCACCCGTCACCAGCCCTGTCTGAGAAGCCGGGAAGAGCCTCCGAACCCTCTACCACCATCATCATCCTCACCATGACAGTTGCAGATCTGTGCCCCGTGCTTTGCCTAGGGCCTTGCAGATATTATTTCTGAACCCCATTTTACAGATAAAGAAACTGAGGCTCCAAGACATCTTATTATGCCTGGAGCCAGCCATTATGCTAGCAAGCTCTAGAGGTGGCACGCAAATGCACTCCAGGGCTCACTCTGCTCCTCCTTACTTGCCTTCTCTCAGGTCAGGGGTGAAAACACGGGTTTAAATACACCCAAATGAGTTCAGAAATGCAGCTGCCTCCCACCTCAACCCTCGGGGTGGCTCCAATTCAATGGCTCTGTCATTATTAGGTTGTGGGAGGAAGAAGGCAAAAGGGCTTCCAAATATACTGGTGTTTAAACTAAGTTTCCAAAAGAAGCTGGAGCTTTGCACCCCAAAATCAGGAGATGGAAACCCGAATTTGTTCTAAAGTCAACAAAAACGAAAGCCCCCTGCTGAGGAGGGGACATGCTCTGGCCAGAGAACAGTTTTTATGTGAATTATTTTTTGTGGGTGGAGAAGAGAAGAAAAGAAAGGAGCAATAGAAGCCTTGCACTAGGAGTCCCTCCGCTGCTTGCATAACACTTCGGTTTTTATCACTCCCCATAAAGAACAACAACAACAAGAAAGTCACTTCCCTAAGAGAACAGAAGAAAAGAGTCACAAAGCCAACCTAAGCTTATGCATAAAATAGACTCCACCAAGATGAACTTGGCCATTTGACAAAACCCAAATCTCACGGCACCTTGGGGTCTGTGGCCTCGCCACCATTTAACATCAGGCCTGCCTTGGGAGAGATAAAACTTGAGACAATCAAGGAAAGCTCCTCTAAGGAATTCTCAAAGGCAGGGCAACTGCTCAGACGGTGCAGAAGAGAATCAGCTGCTCGCATTTTCCATTAGATAGTTTCCAGGAATTTTTATGGGTCTTAAAAGTTAAGGGGGAATGCCCATGTAAAAAGAAGTGGCATTTGAAAGAGGACAGGGACCACCTGCTTGCTCTCTGAGTTATGAACAATACTCTGCAAAGGACCAAGGGCTCCAAAGAGGGCTTTGTCCGGGAAGAACAATCAGATCCTAGAATTCTTTCCTGGGTTCGTATGGCTATGTAACAAAACTACCCCCAAAGCTTAGTAGATATAAAACAACTAATTTATTTTGCTCTTAATTGGGGGTGCTCAGGAGTTTGGAAAGGGCTCATCTGGGTGGTTAGATTCTTCCCATGACATCGGCCTGGGCAACTAGGGCTGGAGGAGTCACCTCCAAGTTGGCCTCTTCAGCATGGCCTCAGGGCGCTCCCAGCCACCCCCTCCCCCTTTGCTTCCCCATGTGGCACCTCTTCCCCGGAGAGTCTCCCCTGTGCCCCAGTGACCGGCTTCCCCCAAACAGGCTGGGGGATTTTATAGCATATTCTTCAAATTAGAGCTGGGGTTTCATTTTCACTCTTGCTCCTGTAACATCCGCAGGATCTAAACTCCACAAAGGCAGAGATTGTGCCACTTCTTGCACACAGTGATCTGTGTCCCCAGCAGCCCTGCCGTCGCATGGTGTGAAAGAAAGAATAAATGACTGGAAGAAACCTCCCGTCTAAAAGGGTACCAAAATGTCAAGTCAGAGAAGTTTCAGTGCACTTTAACTTCTAAAGCAAATATATCCTTGTGTCCTCATGGGGGGAGGGGGGGCAGCATGTCACAAAATCAGTGACAGGGTGTCAAAATTAAAAATCACTGGGAAGCCCGTGAGTCTGGAGTCAGGACATAGACGGGGTACCAGTCCAGCCACACACTCATCTTGCACCATGTAAATCTCTTTGGGGATGAGATAGAAATATAAACAACTGAAAAACTCTGAGAACTTGGCAAATCAGTTAAGCTCTCTCAGCCTGTTTGCTCAGCTACAAAATAAGGAAACTAACAGCTACCCTGCTTCCCTCCTGGGGCATGGGGGAGAGGTGAGGACAAACCACTTCAGCTATAGGAAAAGTCGCAATGCATAGGAAATGCTTTGAAGACTGGGATGCCGTGTTCTTGGTGGTTATTATTTCCGCTGCCATTTTGGAAGGCTGCGGCCTAAAGCCGAGCGCACGGATGGGAGGAGCTGCCCACCCTGCCCACTGCGTCCTGGCGATTCTGAGGCAGGTACAAAGTCTTTAAGGGATGGGCCGGAGGGGCCGCCCCACAGGGTGGGAATTTGCCTGAAGTCGGCAGGAGGGATGTGAGGCTGCGTGGAGCCCCTCCGGGAGTCCCAGCCTCCTCCCTAGGGGGGCAAGCGGCCCCGAGTGGCCCGTGGTGCTGGGCCCTTCCGGGCTGAGTAGCAAGCTTGGCCTGGCAGCGACAGGGCTCAGGCTTGAGAGCAGGGGGCCCTTCCTGCCAGGGCTCTCTCCAAAAACCTTAAGGCAAAGTCCTCACAGAAAAAGCTAATTAATAAACCCCTTCAATGAAAAACGCAAGCAGAGACTGACAAAGACAAGGGAGGAAGGAGATTTGGGGCCAGAGCCCACTCTGCTCTGGGCCAGGGTTCCTAAGAGTTTGACATTTGGAAAAGATCTGGCCTGGAGGAGCCAAGGATTTGGGACAGGGCTCCTTCTGGCTCCCGGGAGTGTCAAGAAGAGAAGGAGGAGGAGGAGGAAAATGACTCAGCTGAAATGAAGAGAAATGTATTTTTAAAAAGCAAAACGATGAAAGGCACAAGGGAACGAAATGGAGCCCCAGGACAGGGCCCAAATGCCTTCTTGAGTAAGTGGGGCAAATTTTCAAAAAGCTAGAGAGCTTGCTAGGGTTAAGCCAAGAATAACACCATGGAAATGAAGACAGTGCCCTGGGCTTGCCAGGCCCCCTGCTCTCGGAAGCCTCCCCGCCCAGGTCCCTGCAGGGCCTGCGCCCACCTCTGCAGGAGAAATGCCGACAGCCACCTGGCAGCGAAAGCGTCTCCACACTGTCGACTTGGAAACTGCAGCAGAGCTCTGCAAGAAGGAGTTAGGGAGAAAGGTGACCCCGGCTCTCTCCGCTCTCGGCAGGGCCAAGGTAGGAGGAGGGGTCCCATTGCTCCTCCCCATGCACAGAACATCTGGGACAGTGAGGAGAGGGCGAGAAGGAGGCTCCCTCCCCAGAACTTGACACAGCTCTGTCCCCTTCCAACAGCCAAGGTCAGATGACCCTGATTGCAAAAGTGTCATTTTGAAATATTCAATGGAGAGCAAGCTGATAGTGAGAAGAGATAGGAGAGGAAAGAGAAGCCACTGCCCTAGCAGCTCAGCACCTCCCTCTCCAGGGTCATTTAGTAAATGTTCAGCCTGGTCTCCCCCCTCGGCCTGGGCCACCCCAGCATGGAACTCCACGGAAACACGTTCGTGGCTGGGAGCACAAGGACCCGCTGCAGAGGACACAGGGAAGGGAATCAGTTGATCAACCCCAAGTGTCCGAGGCAGGGCCAGGGTGGGAGCCACCCCAACAGCCCTCGGAGAATGCACCCCAACTGTATTCCCCACGTGCCGGCCGGGAACGGAAAGCCAGCACAGTTTCTGGCCCTGCGCCGAGCAGGGAAGCCATTCCCGGGACCCCTTCAAATGACGGCCAGCACCTGGCAGGGGGTCCCCAGCCTCCTGATGGCAGCAGCTGCGCAAAAGGCGCATGGGGCGGCAGCCCTCTGAGGCCCCTCCCTGCCACCCCCAGGGAGTCCTGAGACCCCTTTTCCAAGCGTTGCGCATGCGTGCAGACAGCGCCGGGCAGGGATGGAAGCTGCCTCCGTGCCTCTGTTTCTCGGCCTGGGCCTCAAAAGCTGTGTTCTTAGGGTCCTCTGGAAAGCAGAGACAGAACTGAAAGTGCAGGAAGTTTGCTGGGGAGTGCTGTGAACGGTCAGCGAGGCGCAGGAGCGGCGGCTGGAGACTGCCGCCAGGT